GGTGCGGACCTTCAGGGACAGGTGTCACGGGGCTGGGTCTCAGGCCACACTAAGAACAGCAGCCCCGTCTCAAGATTAGGGTGGTCCTCTGCCCTCTGTTCCAATCATTTCTGCTTATGGTGCTGTTCCCCCCCCGCACACCCACTTACTTTGGGTTTAATTTGGTCTTCTTTTTCTAGTTTCTTGGGGTCGAAACTGAGACCATTGGTTTGAGGCCTTCCCTTTCTGTTAGTGTAATCATGGAATGCTATAAATTTCCCCCTGAGAACTGCTTTAGCTGCATCCCTTAACTTTGGCTGTACTGTGTTTTCATTTTTTGTTGTTTCAGATGTCTGCGTACAGCAGGGATTAACTGCCCCACCAAAGTGTGGTAGAATTTGGGGTAAGGCCACCTGGGCCTGGTGTGTTCTTGTGGGAAGATCTTTAACACCCCTTTGATACCTTTAGGAGGTGCAAGCTTATTCAGACAGTTTATCCACTCCTCAGTCAGTTGCAGGGAGTTAGCATTTTTTCTAAGAATGTGCCCAATTCTGTCTAGGTTTTCCAAAGTTGTTGGCATATAGTTGTTGAGAATGTTCTTCTATTGTCTGTTTTATCCCGATTTGTAGTATTTGCTAATTTTCTTTTGTAATATTTTTATTCGCATCTCGTCTTAGTCTTGCCAGAGCCTTGTCTGTTTTGTTGGCTTTTTTAAAGAACCAAGTTTTACTTTATTTAGAGATTTTCAAGTAAGACTTTTGTGAAGGGCAAAGAGATACTGTACTCTAGATAAGACATTCCACATTCTAAAGATGTCAATTCATTTCTTCCTGGTTGAGAAATAGATTTACTGTAATTCCAGAGAAAAAACCCAACAGGTTTTTTTCATAAGACCTACTGTCCTGAGTCTAAAATGTCTGTGGCAAGAACAGAGTTGAGACTAGCAAAGACATTCTCTAGAACACAGATGTCGGGGGGCGGGGCGGGGAGGAGGTGCCTGGGTGGTTCAGTCAGTTAAGAGTCTGACTTCGGCTCAGGTCATGAACTCCCAGTTTGTGGGTTTAAGCCCCATGTCAGGCTCTGTGCTGACAGC